TGTTTACTATCCATGCAACTTTGCTGTAAGCTTAAGTATTTCCAAGTAAACATATTTCAAAAATGGACCATCAACCATATCGCCCTGAATTTTACCTAATCTTCGAGATTTCTGGCTTTGGTTCCTGCAGCTGCCACTACCTCCCAGACCCCAGAAGCGTGCAATGCTAACTTTAAAACAGTGGTGTCAGGTTCTGTCCCGGGCAAGGAAAACAAAAAAACAGACACAAACTGGTATCGTCTTAGCAGAGTTGAAGCGTGCCAAAGTTTCAACAGGTTTTTACAAAATGCTGGAAAAGAGCACCAATTTTTTTTTAAAAGTTATATACAATATACAAAATATACAAAAAACAAAATTCAAAGGATCATGTTTACAGCATGTGAGCTTTAATTTCTTATGTGATGCCACCAGGTCGTTTGTCTTCTGGAATTTCATGGTATGAGTTGGTTTGCAGGCACGTTGTCTGATGGCTTCCTCTGCTAAGTCAATTACCTCTCCTCCACTGGATTTGTAGCTTCTAAAAATTTGTTGACATCTTTTATTGCATCCTCTTCCATTCTTATTATCCTTTAAGGTTTATTCTTTACTTTTTTTTTTTTAAAACAGCTTTATTAATATATAGTTCACATACCATACAATTCACCTACTTAAATTATACAATTCAGTGATATCTGGTATATTCACAGAATGTACAACCGTTACCTCAGACAAGTTTCCAACGTTTTCATCACCTCAAAAAGAAACTGTACCCATTAGCTATCACTCCCAACCTCGCATTGCCCCCCATTTCTAAGCAACCACAAATCTACTTTCTGTCTCTTTAGATTTCTCTATTCTGGACATTTCATGAAAATGAAATCATATAACATGTAGTCTTTTGTGAATGGCTTCTTTAACTTAGAATAATGTTTTTCAGGTTCATCTGTATTGTAGCATGTAATATGCACTTCATTCCTTTTTATTGCTGAATAATATGCTGTTGTACAGATATGCCCTCTTTTGTTCATCCCTTGGTCAGTCAATGGGCATTTGGGTTATTTTCACCTTTTGGCTATTGTGAATAATCGTTCTATAAACACTTGCGTATAAGTTTTTGTATGAACATAGACTTTCATTTTTCTTGGGTATATATCTGAAAGTGGAATTGCTAGATCACATGGTAACTCTGTGTTTAACCTATTGAGGAGGAATTGGCCAGACAGTTTTCCAAAGCAGCTATCCCATTTTACATTCCTACCAGCAGAGTATGAGGGATCCAATTTCTCTACTTCCTTGCCAACGCTTGTTTTTATCTGACTTTTTGATTCTATCCTGTTCGTGTTGTTAAGTGTCTTTAAGTTGATTTTCGATTCATAGCTACCCTGTATCACAAAGTAGAACTGCCCCAGAGGGTTTTTTAAGCTGTAATTTTTATGGGAGCAGATCACTACGTCTGTCTCTTGCAGAGCTGCTGGGTGGGTTTTAATGGCCAACGTTTCAGTTAGTAGCCGAAGCACTTAACTGCTGCACCACCAGGGCTGCTTTGTAACCATCCTAGTAGGTGTGAAGCACTATCTCACTGTGGTTTTGATTTGCATTTTCCTGATGGCTAATGATGCCCAGCATCTTTTCCTGTAATCGTTTACTTTTAATGGGATTTTGGGAAGGAGAGGAGAGAAACAAGTGTGTTTGATCTACTGTGTTTAACTGGAAACCCACAACTCATTTTAAATCTGTCACAGGAAAAAAGAATCTGTTTTATCCTAAATATTTGAGAACATTTATATAGCCATCTAAGTTTTTATCAACTGTACAGTTTTTTACTCCTACGAGTTTTGCATGTTATAGTTACTGTATGACTCAGGGGCTGCAACATTGTGCACTGAAATTGCTTTGTAAGATGACTTCTTGTGTTGGGGAGGGGCAAGGAATTCACTCAAATGACCCCTCAGGGTTGAGTAAAAGCAAAGCAGAACTGACAGCCAAAGATTATAAAGCCCAGTGGTTTTAGTCACCAGTGCTATGTACCTCTGTTGTGGAAAAGTGTGTTCCTCGTGATAAATATGAAAGGAATGGATTGCTCTCCAGGGCTTGGGGACGTGACCTAGGGCACATAGCATAGCTTCTAAGAGACGGATGGCAAGAGGTTTAAATGGACTTATGCACTATGATTAAAGAAAAAAATGGGGTGCATCATATGTGCAGGTTTGATGAGGGGTACATAGGGAATTACATTGTTCTATCTTTTTTTGAACATTTCTTTAATAAAACTTTAGAAAATAAAAGGTTTTGAGTGCCGTATAGGACAGGGAGAGGGGAATAAGAATACCTAGGGCAAGGCTGGATAAGTCCATTGACTACAGTTTAGCCATTTCCATAAAGAAATTTCAGGAAGTTTAATTCTTTTTAGGGTAGGGGTACTATGAGAAATCAGTGTAACAGGAAGGAGGAAAGGAGGGATGGGATACATTGTTTTTTGAAGATTTTTTGATGAGAAGGTTCCCATCTGGTGGCTTCTATTTCTTCTGTGAACTATGGATCTAGCACATCCACTGAGCATGTGGAGCTAACCTGAGTCTGAGGAAAGTGAAACAGTGATCTAAACTCCACAAGAACAGGGAGATGTGTTGTTACCTGATGAGTCCCACATACTTAGAACAGTGTCAAGCACACATTAAGTACTTGAAAATTATTTGTGGGATGAAAGAATGATTTCCAGGTAGGGCTGGAGCTGACCATGAATTTACTGTAGCACCAATATACTTGATTGTGTGATTTTTATCCAATAGTGATTGGTTATGTGTCAGAGGGAATATTTGGAAAAGGCAGAGAGATGAGATTTGCCAGACAGGAAGGATTAAAGCAGAATGGATGGGGCTGACTTGGAGTGGAGCTTTTTGAATGTTGGTTACATGGTGGACCATGAAGTGTACCCTGGAGATGGAGGAAATGATAAGAAATTGGCAAATACATGAGAAGAAAGTAGAATTAATGACCTGGTGTTCCTAAATTAAAATGGGCAAATTGAGGACATAAGCTGGAAGGATAGAGAGATGAGGTCAAAAGGAGGAATGTTAGACTGCATTTTTCCAGATAGCAGAGGTGTTCCTGATGATAAGTTCTAAGTGTGGCCACCACTGAACTGGAATGGGGGGAAAGGAGTCTAAGATGTAGACCTTGGGAGTCCAGGTATTGGCTAATTGATTCACATGGATGTTGGTGTCTCCCCCACTGATTCCCCCACCTCCTGGTCTAGGCCCCATTCTACGTTTTGTCCCTCCCAGGGCTTCCACAGAATCTGCATTCTTCCTGCAACCCTAAGCCTCAGATACTGAACTGTCAAAGGCATGACTCTGGACAAGAAGACAGAAGTGTGGCAGTGAGAGACGCTGTAGTGGACATCTGTTTTGTTTTTGTTTTTGACACCAGCATTCACTTACCTTCTGGAAATATTTCCTCTGTTGCTGTCTGAGGAAATCACTCCAAGTGGAGTTTCTTTTCCTCCACCCCCCATTTTAACAGTGGGTGTGTGCACAGTCATGGTGAAAAAGAGCATTCCATGGGAATGAGCCCCCAAACACTTGTAACCCTGATGAATGATCTAGGATCTCCTGTAGTGCATGAGCTTCAGGTGTCCTGGAGGAGATCTATCACAGCTTCACCAAGCCCATGAAGATCACAAGGTGGCACGTCCATCCTGACGGGTGAACTGTGTGCACACTAAGGACAAAATCTTGCACGTTGTCATCTAGCATGGCTGGAAGGAAGGCACCAAGATCACCTTCCCTAAAAAGGGTGATACCATGCCTGACTACATCCCTACAGTACTGTTTTCATTCTCAAAGACTGTCCTGTGTACATTTCTGCCATTTATGCAAAGATCCCGTAAGTATGTTCTGCAGTGCCCTGATCATCCTCAAGGAAGTGGTGCCTGGATCAGATTGGGGATGGGGAGAGCAGGACAGGGTCATGATATAGGGATAATGGAGCTTAAACTTTTGTTCCTTCAAAGAGGTCATTCTTTCTGCTCTTCATTTTTTTCTTCCTTTCCCATTCTGACTCAATCTTTTCCTTATTTTCTGTGATTTATTTTCCCCTGGGGGCTGAATGGCTGCCTAGTCAACATTCTTACCATTGACAGGTGGTTGATCCCTTTGCTTTGCAAAAATGCTACCAATCCAGGCAGGCTGAAGAGATACCCTGGGAAAGGAACCATTTCCCAGGGTACATTTCTGGTGGGAAAACCTCTTTGTCAAGTTTAAGTATGCTTCTCTGAACATTAACATGTCCCACATGACAGGTTCTTAAGCAGCATCTACTTTGTTCCTAGGACCTACCACAACTTGTCCAGCATCTGCTGCAGCAGCACGCCTGAGCACCCCCACTCCAGGCCCACCCACCCATGTAATCCTATCATCACAGACCATTTTTTCAAAAAATGATTAAGCCACTATTTTCTGAAAAATATATCTGCCCCTAATCTGTTTTCCTTACTGCTCTAAAGTACAGGCTGCTATACTTTTTCATTAAGGTGAAGACAAGAAGTGGGAAACAGAGCTCATCTCAAGCTTCATCAGGGAGGGAGAGGGATTTTGGGGGCAGGTGATTTCTATTCCTCACCAAGAACCCCTGGGGACTGGTCACCTTTTGAAGCCAAAAGAGGCAATAATTAGGAGCTGAACTAACTCCTTCCTTTCCCTAAGTACAAACCTCGGGATACTTAAAACCCAGGCCCCAGATACAATACACACAGAAACCATCACTCTCAGGAGAAACATTTATTGGAGAAGACCAATTTTGTCAACAAGGAATGAATTATTTTGTGGAGGGAGAATTTTCCTCCTGGCAAGTGCTAGGGAAGGATTTTCTCTCCGAAGGGAAGAGACAGAGCTCTGAACACAGTGCTTTGAGCAGCAGGGAGGGGGACCTGAGGTACCTGGCGGGCTGGACTCATGCTGGTAGGGCCTGGATGAGATGCAGAGCCCCTGGGGGGCATGAGGGGGCTGCCTCTGAGAACATACCTGGCCCTTGAATCCTTCCATTTTCTGAGAGTGTCTGTCTCTGTTCCTGATCAGTCTACTACTTATAGGACAACTCTGGCCGGCAGAGAGAGCTTCTTGGCTGCAGGCCTTGGTACATGCTTTATGGTAAGGAATGCTGAAGTTAAAAGTAAGCCCCTGGACAGGCCCTGCCTGGGACCTCGCTTTTGCTTTGTGCTGAGTTTCCCCAAACTTCATATGGGTGCAAAGGGGCTCTTGGAGGCAGGTGGTATCTCTTCCATGCCTACACTTCCTGTCTGTCATGAGTGTCTGACCTTCAGTTGTCCCAGTAAAAACAGCTCTACTTCTGCCTGGGCCTCCTCTCTGTATAGAGGCTGGCATGGAGCTGCCTTTTTCCACAGAACTTTCCTGCCCTTTGCATTTCATCCTAGGATGAAGCCATTGCAAAAGGTGCTTTATTTTTTTTCCAAAATTACTTTCAGGAGGAGACTGTTCCTTCTCTGACAGGGACTGGGAGGACCTGCTCCCAAAGGTCTCCTCGGATTTCTTGTCATGAACCGGATAGGTCTTCCTTCTGGTTTGAGATGTCCCCAACCCTGCGTCTCCTCCCCCCCACTCTTCTGCTTTGGGTCCCTGAGGGTTCACTCTCTTTGTAGCTGGTCGGAAATTCTTATCCTGGAACTTCCCTAAGACGTGCTTAGGGACCCAAGGCTCCTGTTGCTGCTCCATGCTGATCCCTCTGTCCTCCAGGTGGACATTCAGCACCTGGGGAGCTGCCATGTACCCACTGGGGACACTCTTGTCATGCGTGGGAGAGTCATTCCACAGTGAGTCAGTGGGAGCCAAGCTATCTGAGGCATGAGATGTGTCATTTGGGGAGCCTTGGGCCTGGCTATGCTGCCTGGCCTCCAACGTAAATTTTAATTCATTAATCAGCTGGCTTTTAAGGTATGATGGATCAGGCTCTTGGAGAACTGATGGTCTTGGCAAGTGGGGACTTTTAGTCATCAGGTTAGTTTCTACCTTACTTGAAGTCACACTTTTCCTTTGGGAGGTTAGCAGCTCTCTGGTTATTATGGTGTTATTAGATTGTGACTGAAGAGCATGGAGCTCTTTGGCCTTGAATGTCTCCCTGGACATGCTGGCCGTGGAAAAATGTTTTAAATTCCTGTCTACCATCCCTTTGTCTTGAAGCATTCCTGTTGTATCCCTGGAAATACTCTGGTCCCTTGGCGTACGTCCAGTCCCAGTATGACTTGTGGGCTGCTCTGGGCTGCGTTTATTGGGTATTACAGTCTTGCTCTGACTTGTCTTATCTATGTTTCTATGTTTGAGAGACGCAAAAGTCTTTCTGCCATCCTTAATTATCTGAAAGTCCTCTGTAAGCTCATGATTGGTATCAGGGAGTGATTGTCTCAGGGTCCCCTGGCCTTCCTTGTCCACAAGTGAGGTGGCAGGTAGAGGACAATCCATGATAGGGACTGAATTTGTTATCTTTTCTCCCCAAAACGTTTGAGGACTTTCTCTAAGGGGCTTGGAAACCTCTGTTTTGGGGTTCATCTCAGATATAAGGGTGGTTGATGAGGGCAAGTTGGAATAGGGAAAGGGAAAAGATGGGCTCTCTCTCATTTGAAAGATTTGTATGGATTCTACAACTTTGCAGGGAAGACCCCATATCATCCTCATATAAAAGCATTTAATATGGCCTTCCAACCTCTGTTTTGTGCTCGAATTAATAAAAGGAAGCTCCTGAGAAGTATCCAGGCAGTAGTTCCCACCCATCGATGGTGCCAAATTTCTGTGTTTCTTTTGGGCATGGGATTTGTCGGGAAGAGACAATGTCTTTTCAACAGTACGCCATGAACTGTCTACAACCTCAGGGATACTACCCTCCTTGATTTGTCCAAGCTTATCATTCAAATGGGTTTTCAAGGCATCTTCCAGTAATTTCTGATCTAGGTTTACCCCAGAAGCCCTTGAATTATTCCCTGACAGACTCACCTTGTGTCTTTCTGGATCTTTTGCAGAGTCAGACCCCAGAACACTAACTGAAGAGATTTTTGAGTCTTTTGACAGATGATCTTTTGGGATATTCTCTGGGCTATGTCCCTGATCCTTCATCATATCCTTTTCTAAGCAACCCTTCCTCATATCCTTTACTAAGTGAAGCATTTCTAGGCTCCTCTCGTAGAAGCTTTTGCGTTGGCTCAATCCCTCACCATTTAGATCCATGCTGCTCTGACTCTTAAAGTCATGGAGCCATGAGAGTCCATAAGTGCTCTTTGATTCAGGTGTCTCTGGAGATTCATCTGGAGGCTGCATCAGTGCCAGAGACTCACGGATCCTGCGGGGCAGGCCCCACCGGTGTTGGATGAGCCTCTTTCGAAGGTGGTGTTCAAGAAGTTTTCTTACCTCAATGCTGAGAGGAAAATTTCCAGGAATGATAGCTTCTGGAGCATGGGCCTGGTAGGGCCGGTAGTGCTGAGGAAAGTTAGGAGCTGGAGGACAAAAGGCTTCCTGAGATTTTTGGACAACAGAAGGTACACCCACCAAGCCTTCCAGTTGTTTCTGCAGCACATGCCACTCCAGGCAGTGAATTTCTTCTTGGGTAACAGACTGTTCCTCCTTCTGGGGTCTACTGAAAGACACTCCACAGGTCCTAATCTGTGGAGGGGAAGGTGGTAGGTTTTGGAGCTGGGATTGAAGGTGAGCCTGGAGCGAGACCTGAGTGAAACGTAGGTACTGGGACTGGAGCGAGGTTTGAGGCAAAGTTTGAGGCTGAATCTCAGGCAAGGAGAGAGGTAAAGGAAGTCTATTAAAAGAGACAAAGTCTGAGGAATAGCCAGCTGAGGCCAAGATAGACACCAGGGACTCGCTGTGCAGAGAGGGTAGACCCCAGAAGAGCTGGATGTGTTGCTGATGTATATGGTCTCCAAAGGTCTTAGAATATGGGAACTCCTGATGAATGAGAAGTTTCTTTGGTTTGCCTTCCATATCCTGGAAGGGTACAGAGGCTGCTGAGTCATGTTTTTCAGAAATTGACCTGAACAATTTTCCCAAAGAATTTAGTTGGTAGTCTGGCCCAAGTTGGTCTGGAAAAGTTTCCTTTTTCATTTCTTTTTCCTTCAACATCAGGAAATCTCCTCTCTTTTTTACCTGTCTCTCCAGGAGATCCAGGACATCAGGGTTGAGAAAAGAGAGGTTAGCAGCCTCTACAGAGTTGGTTGCAAGGTTTCCCCTCAAAGAGACCTCTGAAGAATAGACGGCAAGGGCCTCTTGGTTGAAATCACACTGTGACAAGCAGGAGGGGAACCATTCCTTGGCATGAGCTGGCCAAGAGAATTCTGAAATAGACATGCTAGAATGGTTTGTGCCTGTGACTGTTGACACAGAAGGGGCCAACCTACCAGGGTTCTCTAGAGATGAGCTCTCAGTGACAGACTTCAGTGAGGTTGGTGTCAACTTAGATTCAGTCACAGTTAAAGTACAGTCTGGTGGTGGTGAGGCAGACAGAGTTGGTGGTGTGCAGTGAAAAGTAAATGAATCAGTGAGATTCACTGAGTGGGATGGTGAGGGATTCATATCTTGAGACAGGGTGGGGTCAAGTGAGAAAATGGTATTCAGAGACAAAGAGGGTTCTGGTTGTAGAACATGATCCTCTCTCTGAGTGTGATATAGTAGGAATGGGGAGGAGGCACGTGATTGGGGTGGAAAATGGTCCACTGGGAATATGGAATCCAAGGAAGAAACAGGCTCTGGTGGCAGAGAGTCCCCCAGAGGTGAGGGTGAAAGAGTATCAACTAAGGGGGTCGTCCGGTCAGGGGAGAGGATGGAAGAGACAGGTACATGGGGTTCAGGCAGAGAGGCTGGTACTGGGTCTTCTGGAGGCTGTGCTGAGGGGGCCAGAGTGAAAGATGACTCAGTCACAGGTGCTGTGGATGCCACCGGGGACACACAGGGAGTGGCATCTTCCACGGGCTCTGGAAACAGCAGCCGACTGACCTCAGCAGTTGTTCTGTTACACACCTTACAGGAGGGATCTGGACATAACATTTGACGAAAGCGGATGGTATCGTGATGCTGGCCCAGGGGGCTGCAGAGATAGGAGGTACAAAGCTGCAGCCAGGACCAGTACAAGAATAGGAGGGCCTGCTGGCCTGGCAGGGGTGGGGACGCCTGAAGCCTTCATATCCCCCGCATCCATGACTTCACAATGTATGCACCCTACATCCCTCTCTCTCCTCAAGGCCTTCATCCACATTCCCGTTGCTATGGCTACCCCTCCTGTGACATAACAAGCTGCACTGGGGCCCTGGAATTACATACCAAACACCACTAGCTGTCCAGTTGATTCTGACTCATGGTGACCCCATGTGTGTCAGAGTAGAACTGTGTTCCATAGGGTTTTCAATGTATGATTTTTTGGAAGTAGATTGCCAGGGCTGTTTTTCAAGGTTGCCTTGGTTAGCAACAAGCCTGTTAACTGTTTCCACCACCCAGGGACTCCTAGACTTACATAGACCATGCTAAAAGAGGGACTAGGAAGGTAGCGGAAAGATGATTTACCTTTTCAGAACAGATAGCAGCTTTCTTGCCTCCTCTGCTTCTCTCTTATAAGCTCTCCAACCTAGGAAACCAGGAGAGAGGGTCATATTTAGCTGAAGGTAGAAGCATAGGCATCATATAAGGAGTCCCCTTATAGAAAATCCTTGGGATATTAGACTCTGAAAACTCCAAGGGTTAGTAGACAGTTCAAATCATTAATTAAAATATTAACAAGGCACCCATGTGTATGTTGCCTTATCATTTACCAAGTACTTTTAGATATATTATTCTGTGTGATGCTCAAAACCAACCTGTGAGGGACAGAGACCAGTGGTGGTCTTAAAGAGGAATGTGAGCATTCAGGAAGCTAAACTACTTGTCCAAAGTCGGGAAACAGAAACGTGACTCCAAACTAACCAGTAGTCCTCCCTTGACACCTCACACACCCAACTATTTAGGCTACATTCATTGCCCACATCCATTACTGATTCACGTCCGTGGATAGAGACAGCAGGGAATCTCAGGTTCTAGCTGCCTTCCCATGAGCTTCTCCTGTGAGGGCTCTGTTTCTGTGAAAGACTATCAAGCAACTGACAGCCTCAGATATCATGGACCTGAGACCTCATGGAAGGAAGAGGAAAAGTCATCTTTGAAAGCCCGGGAGGAATAGGTAGAACCTTACCTTGAAATGTTCCACCTTTCTTCCTCCTCTTGGCTCTGCCATGATGCTGAGGGGAAAAAAATAAATAAATAAATGATGTTCTGGCACTCAATTCTCTCTCTTCTCTAGGAAGCTGGGGACATTCATTATTCATGAGTAATATAACCATTCTAATTAATAAAGAGTCAGCAAAAATGAGGGAATGCTTCTATGAGATGGATTGACACAATAGCTGCAAGAGTGGGCTCAAATATACCAACAATTGAGGATGGCGCAGAACCGGGCATTGTTTCATTCCATTATACATAAGGCCGCTGTGCATCAGAGCCAACTCAACAGCAACTAACAACAACATTTTAATTAACAGAACTTCGTGTTCCTTCCTTTTATTCATTTTTAAAGGTGGTAAAATATTCATGTCTATGAGAACCACACTTGATATTCCCAGTCAGTAGCCCTCGCTCTTCTCAAGGACCGACAGTCACATCTATGCTCCAGAACATAGGGCCCGTATCGCAGTTCAGAGCTCAGGCTCCAGCCCTCTGCTCAGAGGTTCTCAGAGTCTCAGCACTGTTCTACTGATCGACCCAGCACCAAGAAGTCTTGGTCAAGTCACCTGTTATGGGAATGTGACTGGTGATTAAGTGTTGGGACTCTTTTCTCCTGCAGGGATTCCAAACTCTCTAAATAATCCAATCCAGAACCATAGAATCACTGTGTTTGGGATTTTATCCAGAAATCCTCCACCGTACCCAGATGGTCTGTGAGCTTCAGATGGAAACCTTAGTCTTCTGAACCCCTATCCCTGCCTGGCCTCTTCCCCTAGAATGGTGATGATCTATCCTCTCTTCAGACTTTCCATCATAGGTGTCTGTCTGTGCCAAGTATTTGACTCAGGAAAGTGGGAATAAAAATGGAAACCAACAACAGAGAATCTTTGTTGGGAGTTCAGCTCAGGGTTCCTTACCTTTTTGATGCCTTTTTTGTTCCACCAGGTTGGTAAATACGGATTCCATACTAGGTAACACAGGAACAGAAGCAGTAACCCCAACCCACACAGGAAGGTGAAGGTGGGGTCACTCTCCAAGAAAGCTGAGCCGAAGCTCAGCATAGGCTCAGGATGGCTATTCAGAAATGAGAGAATGGTCTCCATTATTCCGAATCGCACTGCTGCCTCAGGCAACTGAGCTCTGAGGGGGCTGTGCTCTGGACTATATAGTCCCAGGTTGCATCACAAAGTTTTGAAGTCACAAAGGGTTTATGATGGCCGGGGAGGGGGCACCATGAAGAGGCTGAGCACACAGCCCCTCCCCCACCGTCCTGCCCAGTGTACCCTATCATCCTATTATCAAACTCTACCCTTTCATCATACCATATATTCACCTTAGTGGATTTTTTTCTGTTTATTCCATCTGTAATCCAGCTATGACCTGAGTTCCCTTTACAGTTCAGAGACTTTGACTTGAACCCCACCAATTCCACTGCCTTGAAAGTCTGAAGTACTGCCTGGAATTCTTGCTTGTACCCAGACATTTATCCTCTCAGGATCACATATGGACTCCAATCATTTCCTATAGAGTGTTTTTGCCTTCCACCAACTCAGATGCAGAACTTAAAATTCTTTTACACTTACTTAGTTTTGTGAATGTTGACTAGTAAGTTTTTTTTTTTTTTTTTAATTTTTCATTTCAGTCAGCCTTTGCCATCTTCAATCAGAGGGGCTAACTCAAATAATTAAAATTAACGATTAATTATTCAACATTCACAAAACTAAATAAGTATACAGTAAATGTGAATAATTAAGCCCACAAGTCATTTGGCAGGTAAGTGTGTAGCATTTATTTTTTCTGAAGTTTGTGAAGCTTAAATTGCACCTGGACTTGTGGAACACCTGCTACACACACACACATCCTTTGACAAAACAATCTGTTATTTTCAAATCCAAGAATTAAATATTTCTTCCTTTTATTTCAATTTTTCATTTATTGTTTGGATCTTACTTCGTCCTCTGACCAAAATACAGACAGCTCCTGTTCCCTTCCTCACTTTCCTAACAGGTGTGTGGCTCCATTGTCTCCCAAAGCCAGGAGTAGATTACTGTATGCTAAACT